GGGGGGGCAACTTAATATAAAAAAAAATATAAAAAAATAACGATTTATATTGTCCAGCAATATACCTTGTTAAAATTGTTTCATGTTCTAATATCATATAAAGTTTCATTCAAAATATAGGAAAACATTCATCAGGGGGAAAAATAAAACCCTTTCACCACTGTGGACCACAATGGACTCATCCAGATAAATGTGTATGGTAGAGTCTACTTAATTTACCTAGGGGAGAAAGGGTTAGGATAGGACATTTATAGACTTAATGTACTCCTTATTTATTCCAGGATACCCTGGCAGCCATGGAGGCACTTTATGCCTTCACACAAGTCGACCCTAACAGGAACGTGTTTGACGTATACATGGAGCTGGAATCGTCAGCTTCTCCAGAGTGGGAAACCCTTATGATGATGACTAAATACAATTACACGGACCTGCAGGAAGTTTTCGTATGTATTTTTCTTCAGTGGTCACCTGCTTCAAACCTCTCTAGGCACCTCTAGGTAGCCCATTTTCAGAAAAATCTGGTGAGGTTTCGTGCCTTCCATGTCCAAATTAACGCCTTTCTTAAGGTGGCCCTTGAGTAGCCAATCAATGGCTGTGAAAACAAAAGAAACAACAGAGAATACAGTCAGTCGTTTCATTGAGAAATATGCATAACCACTCAATAAGATTACATAAAAAAGGTAGGGTTTTTTAAAATTTTGTTTTTGATGTTGTTAATTCAATCATTACAGGTCATCAATACTAAAGAGAAATGTGTTTATATTAAATGGTGAAGTAGGATTGAAATTATTATAGATGTCCATATTACTTTTTGTTCTACAGCTTCCTAAAGTTTATGGTCAGGTGAGAGTAACAGCCAAGGGAACAGGCAGAGCCCTCATGCAGGTATGTATTGAGCAGTGATGTCTACTGGTAATAAGTTCTAACTAGAAAATGAATTAAGGTATTTCTATGTGTAAAATCCCTGCATGTGCTTCCTTTCTACCTGTAATAAAGTACTATTTGACTATTCAACTTTAACTTAATACCTATTAAGCATCTTTCATTTATAATAAAACTATTAGAAAAATGTTTATCCTGCCTCAATGGATGTTCATAGAAAACAAAAAGAGGTCTATTTTTGAGATACCTTTATTCTATTTATAATTTAAGGACTTAAAAACCAGTTTATGATAAAACAAAATGTGTATGCATATGGCAAGTGAGCTGAGTTGTCTTCTTTGTTAGATAAGTCTTTGACAAAATGATGCACACATACAGCTTAAGCCTGTTTATGACCATCATTTCTGCCCGCATGGACCAGTTGTTGGTCACTTTGAAGAAGTGGTTGGTCATTACATTGGGAATTCTGAAATCTGTTATTATAAACAGGACATGGTAGCCTTCATTAGGATTATAAACAGGACATGGTAGCCTTCAGCAGGATTATAAACAGGACAGGGTAGGCTTCAGTAGGATTATAAACAGGACATGGTAGCCTTCAGTAGGATTATTAATAGGACATGATAGCTTTCAGTAGGATTATAAACAGGACGTGGTAGCCTTCATTAGGATTATAAACAGGACATGGTAGGCTTCAGTAGGGTTATAAACAGGACATGGTAGCCTTCAGTACGATTATAAACAGGACATGGTGGCCTTGAGTAGGATTATAAACAGGACATGGTGGCCTTCAGTAGGATTATAAACAGGACATGGTAGCCTTCAGTAGGATTATAAACAGGACAGGGTAGCCTTCAGTAGGATTATTAACAGGACATGGTAGCCGTCAGTAGGATTATAAACAGGACATGGTAGGCTTCAGTAGGATTATGAACAGGACATGGTAGCCTTCAGTAGGATTATAAACGGGACATGGTAGCCTTCAGTAGGATTATAAACAGGACAGGGTAGCCTTCAGTAGGATTATAAACAGGACATGGTAGCCTTCAGTGGAATTATAAACAGGACATGGTAGCCTTCAGTAGGATTATAAACAGGACTTGGTAGCCTTCAGTAGGATTATAAACAGGACAGGGTAGCCTCCAGTAGGATTATAAACAGGACATGGTAGGCTTCAGTAGGATTATAAACAGGACATGGTAGCCTCCAGTAGGATTATAAACAGGACATGGTGGCCTTGAGTAGGATTATAAACAGGACATGGTAGCCTTCAGTGGAATTATAAACAGGACATGGTAGCCTTCAGTATGATTATAAACAGGACATGGTAGCCTTCAGTAGGATTATAAACGGGACATGGTAGGCTTCAGCAGGATTATAAACAGGACATGGTAGGCTTCAGTAGGGTTATAAACAGGACATGGTAGGCTTCAGTAGGATTATGAACAGGACATGGTAGCCTTCAGTAGGATTATAAACGGGACATGGTAGGCTTCAGCAGGATTATAAACAGGACATGGTAGGCTTCAGTAGGGTTATAAACAGGACATGGTAGGCTTCAGTAGGATTATAAACAGGTAAACAGGACATGGTAGCCTTCAGTAGGATTATAAATAGGACATGATAGCTTTCAGTAGGATTATAAACAGGACATGGTAGCCTTCAGTGGGATTATAAACAGGACATGGTAGCCTTCAGTAGGATTATAAATAGGACATGATAGCTTTCAGTAGGATTATAAACAGGACATGGTAGCCTTCAGCAGGATTATAAACAGGACAGGGTAGCCTTCATTAGGATTATAAACAGGACATGGTAGGCTTCAGCAGGATTATAAACAGGACATGGTAGGCTTCAGTAGGGTTATAAACAGGACATGGTAGGCTTCAGTAGGATTGTAAACAGGACATGGTGGCCTTCAGTAGGATTATAAACAGGACATGGTAGACTTCAGTAGGATTATAAACAGGACATGGTAGCCTTCAGAAGGATTATAAACAGGACATGGTAGCTTTCAGTAGGATTATAAAAAGGATATGGTAGGCTTCAGTAGGATTATAAACAGGACATGGGAGGCTTCAGTAGGATTATAAACAGGACATGGTAGCCTCCAGTAGGATTATAAACAGGACATGGTATGCTTCAGTAGGATTATAAACAGGACAGGGTAGCCTCCCGTAGGATTATAAACAGGACATGGTAGGCTTCAGCAGGATTATAAACAGGACATGGTAGGCTTCAGTAGGATTATGAACAGGACATGGTAGCCTTCAGTAGGATTATAAACAGGACATGGTAGCTTTCAGTAGGATTATAAAAAGGACATGGTAGGCTTCAGTAGGATTATAAACAGGACATGGTAGGCTTCAGTAGGATTATAAACAGGTAAACAGGACATGGTAGCCTTCAGTACGATTATAAACAGGACAGGGTAGCCTTCAGTAAGATTATAAACAGGACATGGTAGGTTTCAGTAGGATTATAAAAAGGATATGGTAGGCTTCAGTAGGATTATAAACAGGTAAACAGGACATGGTAGCCTTCAGTAGCATTATAAACAGGACATGGTAGCCTCCAGTAGGATTATAAACAGGACATGGGAGGCTTCAGTAGGATTATAAACAGGTAAACAGGACATGGTAGCCTTCAGTAGGATTATAAACAGGACATAGTAGGCTTCAGTAGGATTATAAACAGGACATAGTAGCCTTCAGTAGGATTATAAACAGGACATGGTAGGCTTCAGTAGGATTATAAACAGGACATGGTTGGCTTCAGTAGGAATATAAACAGGACATGGTAGCCTTCAGTAGGATTATAACCAGGACATGGTAGGCTTCAGTAGGATTATAAACAGGACATGGTAGCCTTCAGTAGGATTATAAACAGGACATGGTAGGCTTCAGAGGTTTGGAAAAAAAGATTTCTATTGGCAAGTTGTTGCTATAGCAAGTTTAAACTTACCCTAGGAGAAAAGAATGCAATAGATGTTCTGATGATTGACCATTGTTCGTTACAGCTGACTTCAACTTACCCTAGGAGTATAGAATGCAATAGATTTTCTGATGTTTAACCATTATTTGTTACAGCTGACCACAACAGTGAATGTGGAGTATGCCTGGCAGATAAAGAACACAGTAGACAGTAAACAATTCTATCTGCTGGACCTCGACTACCTACATTTCAGCGGCAGGAATTTCTCTACCATGGAGATGATGCCTTGTGTCAGGTTGGTACATATGTCCTAATTATTCAAAAACTTAAATTTTCACCTGGGCTGCTTTCATTTATCGTGATACAAATGGTTGAACCGGTTGTGTGTGGGACCTAGTAATCTGAATATGCTGCTTTCAGGCGAGGTCTTGACTAAGCCTTGCAAGGCCTGCATTGAACATTTGCAGGTTTGCCAGGATTTATACCCGAAATTGTTATATTTAAAAACAGACATTCCAGTTGACCCGGAAATGGGCCCTAATTGTTCAAACTGTTTAATTTTCTAATAATTTTGTAGCAAAATTTATTCTTTTATCAGATAATGACAATGTTTCCTTTTTTACATTAGTCATACTGAAAAAGATTGATAGATAAAGAAGGGAATTCTATTTCTAAACTGGGGGGGGGGGGGGGGGGGGGGGCTATGCATTTCTCACAATACTCTGCCTTGATTTAAATGTGTTAAATTAATTTCATTATTTAATGCAAACCATCAAATAATCCTGTGGTAAATTAATTTGTTGTAGCTGGATCTACACAGAGAAGTCTGTGACATCTGGCCTCAGTGTCTTAGAAATTGACATGCCCTCCGGCTATGTGGTAATGAACGACACATTGCGAAGCTTGGTGTTGAACAATACAGTGCGAAATCTCCAACGAGCCGAATTCTACAACAGAAAAGTCGTTTTCTACTTTGATTATGTAAGTTATCTGTACCAGACGAATCTTAAGTTTGGATAAATTTTCCTCTTATTTAACTGATTTTGTAAGTTGGGTGTATGATAGTCGCATATCAACTTTTTGTGGAATGCAGGCTTAGTTTTTGCATTAGATGTACATGTCTCTCTGCTAAAATTCAACTTTTGACAAAATAAGCTATCTTGTTTGAACTGAAAGAATTTATTAGTGACTCTTATCTTAATAAACTGAACTAATTTAGTGAGCTGTGTTATATTCTTGTCCTTAATATTGTACCTTTGATATTTATGTTACGCGATAAAATGTATGAATTATTTATATTGTCCTAAATGGTGATAATTCATTTGTGAATTTTCCTGTCACAGTTGGACCAGAGTCGGTCATGCGTGAGGTTCAAGGCTCATCGTTGGTACCCTGTTGCCAACATGACCATCCAACACAAGATGCGACTGTTTGACTACTATGAACCAGGTAGGACACCCCTCATGTAGAACCATTTTCCTGATAAAAATCTCATCGGAAGCTATTTTGGCAGCCGTTTTCTTAAAAGAACAATGCCAGTGTTTAAGTGAAATTAACATTTAGCCATTTGTCAACCTTTTTTATACAATTGTCAATGCAACTGTATTTTTTTTTGCAGGTTTGCATAATACAACAATGTACACAACATACAATTTATTCAACCTGAATATCTGTTATGTATGTGGATCCTACCAATGTCCCTACTGTCCTTTCTTCAATGTGGCAACCATCTTGAAAGCCAGCTTTACCATGGTAACGCTGATAATGGGGTTCTTCATCAAAAGATACATGCTTCGGGTGACATAACAAGACTTGTTGATCACATCTTCAGGATCTCTCATCTCTTAGGTTGATTTTCTTAATAGAAATTGAACCATATGGTTGGTTGACGTTCAAGAATAATTCACTGTTGCATACAGCTTCTGATAATCAACAGTAACGAGGGGGTGAAGGATTCCAATAAGATAATTCAGAGCAAATACACATGTTCTAGCATATTTTTCCATTGAAAAATTGTCCTACTTTTTTTTTTACAAATGTGATGTATCGTAACAAATTTAATTGTTTAATGAAAAAAGTGTCTATTAGTCGATTGTGCCATTCATAAACTTTGTCTATGTAACGATAAATGTAATTAAAAAGAATATGTTATAGACTTAAAAATAATTGACATTGTTAAAACTATTGTGCTGTTGAATTTAGCCCTGCTAGGCGAAGGTTTACTGTGCTATTAGACTGAAACGTCTTGAAACTATCAAATGAAAACAGTAGTAACATGATTTTAATCAAAGAATGATCAGAGTATATGTAATTTGGTTCAATTTGGTATATGATTGACTTTTCAACTTTCATACATATTTTTCTTCTTAGTTTTAATGGTACATTTTTGCTGTTGATGCAATTAAAAGTGATTAAATGTAATGCAAATGTAAAATGTAATTATATATTGACCCAATTAGTAGACCAGATTTGCAAGTGTTTTTTACATGTTTGTGTACTTGTATGTGTCCGACGGAATGTTATCTTTTCTGTTATTTCTTTGTGTATAGGAAGTGTTTTATAATGATGTATAAATATCTTTTGTACAATTTGTAAATATATTCAGAGTGTAAATATTTTGTATAATATGTATGTAAATTAGATGTCAGATATCAAAGAATATTTTTTATACTAAACTAAGAATGGAGGGTAATTGTGTGAGTGGCTGATGGATTGTTCACCATTATTTCTCGGAGAAAACGGATCTTTGATCCATATGTTTTGAAAATGAGAAATTCCTGCAAGTGAATGTTTTATTTTGCATGTAAACATTTTTGTGAATAATTGAACATGTAATAAATTGTATGAATGAATAAAATAGTGTGTGGTGAATGGAGAAAAGAGAGTATAAAATCAGAATATGGAGTATGATTATTATAAATTAACTTGAAGCTGATTGTGAACATGACACCGGAGATGAAGCTTCCATCTCCTCTTACTGGCTTTCTCAGTGTACACAAGGGTCTTATGTCATCTATATTCTCTTTAGAATCTTGATAAAAGTAATTTGGCATACTTTCTTCAACCAAAGTCTTCCCTACTTTGACCTTTTATATATTATCGTATTTCATTTGAATGAAAGATAGATTACACATATAAATATAGTATGCAAGAGTGGAACTTTTATAGGGAAAATATAATAACATTCCAACCATTTCCCCCCATAATTTTGTATTTTTAGCATATTTCACACCGAGTCCTGATATGTATTGAGGGAATTTCATTATTTCAGATTTTAATTACTAGGTTCTGCTGTAGCAAGATTTCATTAGTGTATTTACTCATTCACCCTGGAAAACGCATTTGAACTCTTCCAATTCAAAGGTTGGAATAGTTAATTATGAAATACCATGGGTGAATGTATTAATATTTTGGCAAGCTCATTTTTCCTGTTTATTAATATCTATAATAATGTTATTCCTCTGTATTGTTATGACTATGTGTATATAACTACAACTATATATTTTGATTTCTACAACATATTTCAGGTCTTTCATAATTCATCATCCATGATATGCAGTTAATTTTTAATTTTGATTTTAACTTGTTGTCATTAAGTGGAATACTACCAGTGTAGCATTTTAACATAGGAATCCTGAATCAGTACATGTATAATTTAAATTTCATAATTATAAAGTAATCTTATATATAGTCAAGACTATGATTCTACCAACAAGTGTTTTAAGAAATTATGGCAATTTGGTTAAATATAAATTGATTTTATATAATTCCATGAATGTGTCATGAAAACAATTTCTTTAATGTACAAAATTAATGTAAACTTTTTGGCAAATTCAAAACATAAACGTTCTGTATATACTTAAAGATATGGACAAACATTATATACTTGACAAAGTTGTTCACATCAAATATATAAAAGATAAGTGTATTTTGGACAGTGTCAAAAGTTAACTACCAATATTAAACATAGATCATATTTGGATTAAGGATTTAGTGACTTTTTACCAGGAGATATAATTTTTACATGGAAATAAGATAATAATAATCATTCACATTCTTCTGTTCTCATAGTAATTCTCTTTACATTTATCATTCATAATCCTCAATTTTCATTTTCATTTTTTGTACAAATAGTGATGTAATTATAATTATCTTAAATTTCGTCTATGAATACCCAGAGCCCAACCAGCCCGTTTAGTATCTTTTCCAATGAGGTGTTTAACTGTGGCTACAGCAGACTTCGCTTAGTAATGAATATTTTCATACATCCAAGGTGACGTATATAAAGGATGCTAGCTTAGGCGACACCGTGGAACTACTCGGTAGTGAAGCGGACATAAAACCACTCAACCAGGGGACACATCTAGATCATTCGATGCTATAGGTCCAAAACAGGTGGAGAAATTGGCCAATTAATTACAGACGTTACAATGAAATCAGTTTTAATCAAACAGCCAAAAAAATTATACCAGAGTGATATATGCAATGGAATTAATTGATAACATTCTGTCAATCAATTTCATTTCATCTCATTTATATTGAGAAAGCATCCTCTTAATATTGAATTTAAGTATTTTCGAATAAAGTGGTCTGCAAAATACAGAAATAATGTGATTCTAAGTAGTCAAAATAATTGTGAATATTTGACAGCATTGTCAGGTAGACTACTGTGAAACCTGTAGACTCTGACGTCAATAATGAGCACACATTTTTCCTACTCCTTAGATCAGCTTTATTAAACCATTGTGGATCAGATAAATGAGCAGCTTCTTCTTTCACCAAACCTTGGTACGATCATCTCATCTGTAAGTAAGTCCATGGTTCACTGTTAACTTGCTCATGTAACATATATATTTCATACCTATAACAAACATTCATGTGATTTTATACACAAAGATGAAATAAAATTACCAATTTTCTTACTTAATGTTTTGTTATATTTTCAATAATATGTTCATTTTGCTCATATTTATCCGGCAACCAGCCGATGCCTGGTGATAACTTTATCCATATCTATTGCAGTATAGAAGTGTCAACATTTTAGCATCCTGCAACAAGCCTTACCCCATTTTTTGAGTCCAGAGATTCTATGTTGGGCCACCTGAGCATTCTGCAGGATAAATAAGGCAGGACTCTTATGTCATCTTAACCAGACTGAATGGAAATCGGGGATAACCAGTGGTTTGGTTGTTGTGAGAACTCACTTTAGCAGTCGGGGATAACCAATGGTTTGTTTGCGAGAACTCACTTCAGTAGATGGGGATAAATAGTGGTTTGGTTGTTGTGAGAACTCACTTCAGTAGTCGGGGGATAACCAGTGGTTTGGTTGTTGTGAGAACTCGCTTCAGTAGTCGGGGGAAAAATAGTGGTTTGTTTGTGAGAACTCACTTCAGTAGTCAGGGATAACCAGTGGTTTGGTTGTTGTGACAACTCACTTCAGTAGTCGGGGGATAACCAGTGGTTTGGTTGTTGTGAGAATTCACTTCAGTAGTCGGGGGCTAAATATTGGTTTGGTTGTTGTGAGGACTCACTTCAGTAGTCAGGGATAACCAGTGGTTTGGTTGTTGTGAGAACTCACTTCAGTAGTCAGGGATAAGCAGTGGTTTGGTTGTTGTGACAACTCCCTTCAGTAGTCGGGGGATAACCAGGGGTTTGGTTGTTGTGAGAACTCACTTTAGTAGTCAGGGATAACCAGTGTTTTGGTTGTTGCGAGAACTCACTTCAGTAGTCGGGGATAACCAGTGGTTTGTTTGTTGTGAGAACTCACTTCAGTAGTCGGGGGATAACCAGTGGTTTGTTTGTGAGAACTCACTTCAGTAGTCAGGGGATAAATAGTGGTTTGGTTGTTATGAGAACTCACTTCAGTAGTTGTGGATACCCAGTGGTTTCGTTGTTGCGAGAACTCACCTCAGCAGTCGGGGATAACAAGTGGTTTGGTTGTTGTGAGAACACGCTTCAGTAGTCAGGGATAACCAGTGGTTTGGTTGTTGCGAGAACTCACTTCAGTAGTCGGGGGATAACCAGTGGTTTGGTTGTTGTGAGAACTCACTTCAGTAGTCGGGGGATAAATAGTAGTTTGGTTGTTGTGAGAACTCACTTCTGTAGTCGGGGGATAAATAGTGGTTTGGTTGTTGTGAGAACTCACTTCAGTAGTCGGGGGATAAATAGTAGTTTGGTTGTTGTGAGAACTCACTTCAGTAGTCGGGGATAACTAGTGGTTTGGTTGTTGCAAAAACTCACTTCAGTAGTTGGGGATAACCAGTGGTTTGGTTGTTGTGAGAACTCGCTTCAGTAGTCGTGGATAACCAGTGCTTTGGTTGTTGCAAGAACTCACTTCAGTAGTCGGGGATAACCAGTGGTTTGGTTGTTGTGAGAACTCACTTCAGTAGTCGGGGATAACTAGTGGTTTGGTTGTTGCAAAAACTCCCTTCAGTAGTTGGGGATAACCAGTGGTTTGTTTGTTGTGAGAACTCACTTCAGTAGTTGGGGATAACCAGTGGTTTGTTTGTTGTGAGACCTCTCTTCAGTAGTCGGGGGATAAATAGTGGTTTGTTTGTGAGAACTCACTTCAGTAGTCGGGGGATAACCAGTGGGTTGGTTGTTGTGAGAACTCGCTTCAGTAGTCGTGGATAACCAGTGCTTTGGTTGTTGCTAGAACTCACTTCAGTAGTCGGGGATAACCAGTGGTTTGGTTGTTGCGAGAACTCACTTCAGAAGTCGGGGATAACCAGTGGTTTGTTTGTTGTGAGAACTCGCTTCAGTAGTCGGGGGATAAATAGTGGTTTGTTTGTGAGAACTCACTTCAGTTGTTGCGAGAACTCACTTCAGTAGTCGGGGATATCCAGTGGTTTGGTTGTTGTGAGAACTCACTCCAGTAGTTGGGGATATCCAGTGGTTTGGTTGTTGTGAGAACTCGCTTCAGTAGTCGTGGATAACCAGTGCTTTGGTTGTTGCAAGAACTCACTTCAGCAGTCGGGGATAACCAGTGGTTTGGTTGTTGTGAGAACTCACTTCAGTAGTCAGGGATAACTAGTGGTTTGGTTGTTGTGAGAACTTTAACCCACTTCAGTAGTCAGGGATAACTAGTGGTTTGGTTGTTGTGATAACCCACTTCAGTAGTCAGGGATAACTAGTGGTTTGGTTGTTGTGAGAACTCACTTCAGTAGTCAGGGATAACTAGTGGTTTGGTTGTTGTGAGAACTCACTTCAGTAGTCAGGGATAACTAGTGGTTTGGTTGTTGTGAGAACTCACTTCAGTAGTCAGGGATAACTAGTGGTTTGGTTGTTGTGAGAACTCACTTCAGTAGTCAGGGATAACTAGTGGTTTGGTTGTTGTGAGAACTCACTTCAGTAGTTGGGGGATAAATAGTGGTTTGGTTGTTGTGAGAACTCACTTCAGTAGTTGGGGGATAAATAGTGGTTTGGTTGTTGTGAGAACTCACTTCAGTAGTTGGGGGATAAATAGTGGTTTGGTTGTTGTGAGAACTCACTTCAGTAGTTGGGGGATAAATAGTGGTTTGGTTGTTGTGAGAACTCACTTCAGTAGTTGGGGGATAAATAGTGGTTTGGTTGTTGTGAGAACTCACTTCAGTAGTCTGGGGATAAATAGTGGTTTGGTTGTTGTGAGAACTCACTTCAGTAGTCGGGGATATTAGCAGTGGTTTTGTTGTTGTGAGAACTCACTTCAGTAGTCGGGGATAACCAGTGGTTTGGTTATTGTGAGAACTTTACTTGTCAGGTAATCCTTTCGTATTTCCAATGTAACCTTTTTGGGTATAAATTTTTGAAACTGACTTTACAGGTGAGATGCCAAAGAATCATTACTATAACAACTTTATATATATAATTGATTTTATTGATCATTGATTTGAGGACGATTTGATGTGAAGCATGCACACTATGATTCCTGACACTCATAACCACCGTCTCTATCACACTCAGCTCTAACCATTTCTCGTCAGAAACAAATCTCGGTAGTTAAAACAATTAGATGGATATTGTATTATACAAATATATTCATATTTTGTTTATTATAATTTCCTGATAATGATACAAAGCCTGAATAATAAGCCGAAATTACATTTACTGATGATTTTCTGATTGGTTTAAACATTCCATTTTGACACTATCTGAGATCTTCCGTTCCAACATTCACACAAACTGATACAATATAAATGATAACTACATGTACTTAATACATAACCAATTTTCATACAAATTAACCAATGATTGCACACATTCATGAACCCCCTTATATCCCTATTCATAAATCTCTTAAAGATGGATATGTAAAGGAAATTATGTACCGATATGTTAGTGTTTTACTAGCAATAAATATCTTTTACTGAAAAGTGGAAATTTTCATGTTTCAGATTTTTGCTCGACTCCAGCAAAACTGCTTCCATATACAACATTGCAGTGTGTTAATGTCATATACAACAACGCAGTGTGTTAATGTTATAAACAACATCGCAGTGTGTTAATGTTTATACAACATCACAGTGTGTTAATGTTTATACAACATCACAGTGTGTTAATGTCATATACAACATCACAGTGTGTTAATGTTTATACAACATTGCAGTGTGTTAATATTTATACAACATCACAGTGTGTTAATGTTCATACAACATCACAGTGTGTTAATGTTCATACAACATTGCAGAGTGTTAACGTTCATACAACATCGCAGTGTGTTAATGTTTATACAACATCACAGTGTGTTAATGTCATATACAACATCGCAGTGTGTTAATGTTCATACAACATCGCAGTGTGTTAATCAATGTTCAAGCACATGCAAAATTTTGTGCTTGCTCAGCTAATAAAAATTCGTAAAAATTTCCACCAAGAAAATAAATCCCCTTTAGAAGTCATCTGACACTATTGAAGTCAATATACAGATCTTTAGAATTACCCCCAGGTAATCACATTTTACTGAAAATTTATGGTCAACAACAGCTTTGAGAAAGCAAATTTCCCTGGCAATAACTTTAAATTAACAAGGTTACATATAGATATTGACAACCGACTACAATCTCAACTGTAATATAAACCTTCAACTAATAACTCTAACACACAATGAATAGTAAATGTTCATTTCTTCACTAGATTATTAAAGATTAATGGACGGAGATAATCAAATTAAAGTTTTACATAATTAATAATGGAAAAAAAACTACCAACAAAAATATAAACAATGAAATATGCAAAAAGAATGTTACAATAAATATACAATACTTAATGATAAAATAAAGGTAAAATGAAACAGAAGCTTGTTAACTCTATCACAGCTGTAATTAAACAAATACAGGTATGACTACTAATTGATTAACAAAAGCACCAATGAAGTACAAAGTAACAAGGTGAAGAACTTACAATATAATTAACAATTAGGACCAAACAAAAATAATAATCATACAGTGTTGATACATGAATTTATATTATGTGATTTCTAAAGATTTACAAACTGTCTAAAAGGATATAAATCTTTTAAAACATTCCCATTTTTATATTCTTACATAAACTTGAATAATCTACCATTCTGGCTCTGTGTTAATGACTACTAAGATCTGCCAAACAAATATTGCTTAAACTTATCAAATTTACCACTATGATAGGAATTTTTTTAGTTGATTTCTAAAATTTATTGATAAAAGGATATTTAGTCAATCAAATTATAGTACGAAAACAAATTATTTCATATTCGTTGTTTATAATAATTCTTGCTGGACCTGTGGACTACATCTATGAATCAAACAACTGTAATATTTTATCAGTTAAATAAACAGGTCATCTTGATTGTATCAGGTCCCAGTAGCAATTTTTTTTTTTATATACAAGTACGTACTTACATTCTAACTTGAATATGCTCTAATTTCAGTTTCTTAAAATTATATTTTCTTTCAAATCAAGAACAATCATAATATTTATTATTGCAAATAACTTTTGAGGGAGTATGGGGCATGAAATATGTTTTATTTTGAGGATGAAGAATGTAAAAGTTAAGAGGTATGATTCCTGTCCTGGACAGTACACTGGTACCATGCCCTAAGATAGTTATGGTAGTATATACATGACAATGATGTTTTTTGTTTTAAATGTATTATGATAATAAGTTTTTAAGCAATCATTTAAAAACGACTATGTACTAAAGCATTTAAAAGTGTAAAATTGTATGTACAAAGTATGAATATTAATCAGAAAACATTTGGCAATGTACTGAAATGTACTGCAAGTAACAACTTATTACATATCATCTAACTACATACTTTTAAATTGAACAAATATTTTTTCTTATAATTCAATGTCTTTGAAGTAACCCATGGTAGTTAATACCATATTCTACCTAATTAAGAGCCCTGTTCTTAATAAGAATCCCTAGTCCACTTTCTTGTTAGAGCATCCCATCTCTTTACCACAATTTGCAGACTTACCTGAAAAGTGTCTATTATGGCTATTTTTGAGAATTCTGGCTGTTTACCAAACTGATAAGCTCCTAGAGCACACTAACAAGACAGTCATTAACAATGTTAAAGTCGATTATCAATTTTGGTCAATCAGCATACTGGTTTGGAGGAGATATAATGTATAGCTCCTACAGGAAATAACTGACTTTTAAAAATGTATTAAAAAGTCCCTCACAAAAATTTGATTTAGTTTTGAAGCACCAAGCAGAAGAGAATTACCAGGTACTCCAGTCATCTCAGATTTACCTCCCCTCATATAAATATAGCTCAGGCTACTTAACGATTCCCATAACTGATCTGTCTGACACACCAACCTATTGTAAAAATTAATGGAAACTTCTAAATGAGATTTTTTTTTTTACATCAGATCTTTCAGAATCAGCACCCATTGAATACAAAAATGCAATACTATAAAACAACTTATTTTTGACAAATTCTATAAATTGGTGCACCATTTATTTTTTAATGAAATGATGGAAAACCAAATGGAACCAATTATACTATCAATGAAAAACTAGTTTACGTATCAAAATAATGACAAGAGTCTTTTGTGATTAATGTGAATTCGTGGAACTGTCCTTATCTAGTGTATTTCCTCTGAAGACGTGACATTTAAAAAAAAAAAAACACAGAATAAAATTTAAACCAATATATGTAAAATATATGTACTTGAAATCTGACTTTGGTTTTCTTTTTGTAATGTATAGTTCATATGCTGTCACTGTTATTAAGTATGATAACAAAAAGGTATGCTAACTATGAGGGTTCCAGTGCAATGATCTGTATGGACTTCTATGGGTTGCGTTTTATCAATTACAAAATGAAATAATCATTGGTATCAATGTTTACCAATGATCGCTGCCTGTCTACGAATGATAAAAATTGCAATATAATGGCTAGCACATGTCTTGCATCCGTTTAACTTTATACAGTAAATTTGTTGTAAAATCATTAGAAATATGTGTATACAATCAAATATAAAATAAAGCTGGACAGATTGTTAGATATCAACACAAATCATCTCTTGCCATTCATACAATGACTGTCTCTGAGGAAAATAACTTCAGCAAGTCTATAGACACACGTGCATGTGTACATGTATATCTATTCCTAGTAATTTTAGTGACCTGTAACTACACAGTATAGTACCAGCAGTGGTTTGAAGAAATATTTTTGCAAATGGACACACAAAGGACATTGATAACTTTGTCCTTTGTTACAGCTTTCAGAGTTTCCTCTTACTGTTTACTATATTTAGATATATGTGAAAATATACAGCGGCCAAAAAATGGCTGAGTTTATAGAACGTTCTAGTAGATATCAACCAATCAAGGTTTTATACACTTACAAACACTGATTATTTTGGCAGAATATTTATGCTATTGTTATCATTAAATGATTTCATTTTCACAAGGAAAAATAATTTGAAATAGACATATCCAGGAGTATACACATACTGCCTTCTCAATAATGAAAATACCATAAAAGGTGTTTTCATCGAAAAACGAAATGAGAAAACTTAGAGATATATGGTATAGTTAATATGGATGACAACGCTGGTGAAGATACTTTATATACAGGAAAGAGGAATAATACAGTCACAGCCGTAATCATCCTACTTAGAGTGAACATATAATTAAAATAAAACAAGTCTTTTATTGTCAATTAGACTTTGTGTCAAAGGTTTTCCTGTCTTCTTTCAGAAGTCAATACAGTTTTTATAACACAGCAAACTCTTTAAAAAGAGCAAGTTAAGACCTGATGACACTACAAGGCTGCAATGGTAACTGATTCCACTAGTATTTTTCTATTGTTTTCTATTTAAATGATACATACTAATAAATAAACTATTATTGTTACATTTTTAAACAATCTATACTTGGGACTAATCTATATTTCTATGGACGGAAAAATAGTATAAATGTCACAAAGTCCCAATTGTGAGGCTTTTAAAATTTTGAAGGCTATCTTTTGATAAAAATTGACCAATTTTCTTCATGTTTCAGTTATCTAAATCAATCAAATTCCTTATAATTTCTGTAACATCGTACCTAGGAAAAATCTTCAAAATACTTTAATTCTTCATTGGAAATAATCTAAAACAAGAGACTATAAATAAATTATATCAAAACTTATTTTTGACTTAACAGTGTAAAAGGTGACTTTGTGACAGTAAATCTGGCAAAGAGAACTGATAAGCAGCATTGTCAAAACACCGGAGATACGGAAGACATCAACGATCCCTCGCTAATCCTCTCCGTCAGAAGACAAGTAGATGAGCTCCCTCTTTTCACTGCTGTCAATGGCCTCAGACAGACCTTCATGTTTCCGTAATTTTTTCATACTGTGTCTTAGAACATCTTTCATGCGTTCATTTTCTGTGTTGGCTGACCTCCACATGACCTCCAACTCCTCCTCAACATCTCTGTAAGATAATACGTATCACATAATCTCCTCCCTTACAGAAATTTACCATACATTTTAATTTGATACAAATTGGGACAGTTAAAATATCTGTATTTTTATACATTTAGTAAGGCCAGGTTACATACAAGTGTAAATCCTGGTCTTCCTCAATTGGCCAGGTGGCGGTTTTGCCCCCTCCTTTAATAGTCACATAATTGTTTTCATTGGGCATAATGCCTCTATGTGTTCAGATCAGTATGATGTGACATGTTTTACATGTTTTGTATACATGATTTTATTTTACGTCATTTTTATAATAAACGGCCTTTTTTAATTCATACTGTGGCATTACTGGTTTTATGTGACTATTGAACTTTTGGTAAAAGCTTGCTGTATGACTGGGTACTGAACCGCACATCATAAAATATTACATTTTATGTATAAATATTCTCTGACACTGTCATGTCACTTACTTCTTGTCATCAACGACGTTGTTGATAATCTTCTCCTTTTCCGACACCAACATTCGTAAGTGGTTAATCTCCCTCTCGTACTCCTTCTTCTGGTTAGTAAAATTGACGTCTTGTTCCTTTAGTCTGAAATATAGGAACTTTTATCAGTATTGAATACAAAAGTCTAAAATATGTGATGAAGATGACAAAGATATGACACATTAATTTGAAGCAGGAGAGCCACCAAGTCACTCAAACTCTTGAGTTTAAAAAAAATTAACATCAAAATCACCCTTTGACTCGGGAACACTGAATAAAGATCAGTCGGGTTGATTGTCATTGTACACTACCTACACCCAGTGTCACTAGACGACTGATCATATATACAGTTAACATGCTCTGATGAATATATCTTCTTGGTTGAAGGATGGAAAATAAACAATCCTACTCAGTTGTGTATGCACACTGTTCTTACCTTCCTGCGACGGTATTCAGCTTAGCCGCAGCCTTCATCTTATATAACTGTAATAGAAGGTGTAGAATATGATGGGTATACATTAGTAATTATTGAGACAAAGGCAACTATAGTATGTTTTCACAAGTCTAATGGTAATTAAATACTGTTCCCTCCCCCCCCCCTCCTCCCCCAAAAACTCCACTCTGCTTTCCTTGCAAGATTTGTTTTTTATCAATTTCTTTTTTCTTTTCTTTCGTTTTTTGAAGAACTTCACTATATAGATATATTCATCGGAAATTTCTGAGTTTTAATTTCATCAATCTTTCAAATTTAATAATCTGAAATAAATCAAATCCCTTTTGAACTATAATTGTTTATCATAACACAGCTAATTCTACATCTAATAAACACTCACCTTTAACTTTTCCTCCATTTTGCCCTTGGACACATTACCACTCAGCAACTTATTTACCGCCTTTTTGGTCTCATTTTCCTGTTCTCTTGCCTGGAAAATTAAAACCAATTCTTCAAATAAGATCTGCTTTTGATAATTGTATGTTAGACTCACCAGCAACATATTTATCAAAACTAAACAAAGTTTTACTTAAAAAGTATTAAAATCTTTTGTATTTTGGAGATGCACTTTAGCTGTATCACTGTCTTTTCAAAGAGGAATGGAAGAAGATCCACTAGATCACACCGACAGGTCCTACAGGAGGACTACACAACATCACATCTGATTTGGCGCACGAAACATAGATAATTGTGCAAATAAATTCAAGAAGTTAAAGAATTGCCAATCTAAAATGTTTAATTACCAGGGTACATATAAAAAAACATATAGAAACAAGACACTTTTTCTGGAGATTGAGAACAGTAGACTGAACACAGAAACTGTTACTATACTTGTAGTTACTACAGGGCCCTAACCCAATAGTACATGCAAATATACACTTTATTTTGAATATACATACTGGTAAAAAAAAAAAAAAATGTTTCTGATATTGTGTAATGCATCTACAGTATTTATATTCTGTTGTAAATCACAAATGGACATTTGATGATTTTGAACAAACTGCAAAATTTTCAACATGAACTAATAACTTGATGTAGGGTATTAAGAGTAAGCCTTGGCTATTCTGTGTGTTTATATTGAAGTCCTAACAGGCATTGTCTGCCTCAAAACACCTACATACATGTACTGTAATGAGCGAGCGATTATGTGTGCACAACATAGGACTAAGACAGGGGGTTATGTTATTTGACCATGTACAATAATGATTTCTTAAAATAATTTCCTAATTTTTATATTTTAAAGAGTGATTTTAACATGCAAAATAGTAAAATAGACTGATGTATTTGTAATAAAATTGATTAAAATAGTTACATTACAACAATTCAATCATAGAAAGAGTACGAGCAAATGTCTGGGTAAAATGTGTTATTATAATTAGTGAAATGTGTAGGTGCAAGGACAAATATTTATGTGAAGACTTGACAATAATGGTGAGAGGACCAGAGCTTGTCCTCCCTAATGTCGTTATACATAGTGAGAGGACCAGAGTTTGTCCTCCCTAATGTCATTATATATGGTGAGAGAACCAGAGCTTGGCCTCCGTAATGTCGTTATACATAGTGAGAGGACCAGAGCTTGTCTTCCCTAATGTCGTTATGCCTGGTGAGAGGACCTGAGCTTGGCCTCCCTACTGTCGTTATACATGGTGAGAGGACCAGAGCTTGGCCTCCCTAATGTTGTTATATATGGTGAGAGGACCAGAGCTTGGCCTTCCTAATGTCGTTATACATGGTGAGAGGACCTGAGCTTGGCCTCCCTAATGTTGTTATACATGGTGAGAGGACCAGAGCTTGTCCTCCCTAATGTTGTTATACATGGTGAGAGGACCTGAGCTTGGCCTCCCTAATGTCGTTATACATGGTGAGAGGACCAGAGCTTGGCCTCCCTAATGTCGTTATACATGGTGAGAGGACC